AGTTCTCTTGGAAGGTGTCTGCATTTAAACATTGTGTTTGGAATAGCAAAAGCCAAACTTAAAATGAGCCTGCTTCACATAGGTATGCTGTAGGCTAATTTTCAATTAAGTGGTAAAACCTTGCAATAGTGCATGGTCAACTTTGTCAAATTCAGGTCTCATTCAATGGCAAGGATCGCGATGCTTACCAGAGATGAATAGGAACACTCTGAAATACTGCAACCAGGTGATAACTTCAGGAAGCTAGACTAATGAGCCTAACGTGTCAACAGTGTCGTGCCGGCATCCAATCAAATCTGAATTGCTAGAAATCTGTTCTTCCTGATAAAGGACAAATACAAGACGCTAACAGTTATATACAGTGTAAGATTTTGTAGGTGGCAAAGGTAATTTATTTGCAAAAGTCCACGACAACATAAGGCTCATATTTTAATGCTTGCAATGTAGATTATATGTGTTACTTCTTTTTACGCACATCTCTTGATGTGATTATTACTATAACTTCACAGTGTGCTCTTGTAGCTGTCATACAGCTAGCTTCCAGCTGCAACTGCACAGGCAGGAGACACATTAGCGACGTTTCAGGGATAACTGCAGAAGCAACCAAGAACAAACTGCTATCAAACACACAAAGCGCGCCGTGGTGTATCTCTCCATAATGTGTTGGTTGTTGGAAACCCAAACTGCTGAAATCCTAAGCGTTGTGGTAATAATTGCAAAGAGATGTAGGTTGTGTACCCTTGGAACTGAAGGAATGTAGGAAGTGTGAGCCCCCAAAGGCATGTGGCATTGCTTAAAATAGCTTGCTGGTTGCTCCTCGGATTTGTAGTGTGTGTGCGTGTGTAGCAGTCTCGCCATACTCAGTTTTCTTTATAGGATGCATAGAGAAAGCGAAATATAATTGTTTCCTTATGTTCCCAGAGGGGGAAGTACTAGATTACAAATCTTTTGTATGTGTTTGTGGTTGTATCTAATAAATCAGGAATTTAAATTGTTGTCTTTAATCTATAGTAAGTGTTTGGAATAGTGTTTATTGAGGAGTGATTGGAGTATTTTGCTCTTAAAAGAGCTTGAAGTTTACAGCAATGTATTTTTTGTGGGGGAGGCACTTTAATATAAACCAGATGAAAGCATGATTATTTTAATAGCAATCTTTAAAGTTTCCATTATGTTCTCATTGCTTTCTCTGACTGTGGATATTTATTGGAAAGCTTAACTCACCTGTTGTCCCATCTTTAGACTTGTTCAGTAATTGTGTTCCCATGTTCAGTGTCTGAGAAACCAGTGTATGAAAATAATGTTGTCGTTTAACTCCAGAGTCTTCTGTGGTTTGTATGAACAGCTTGAGCATTGTATAAATAATGCTTAAAGCCAACACTTAGTGTGTATCTAAAACAACAGCGTGCTTCCTTTTAAAGACCAGGGCTTAAGGCCGGTTTGTAATTTTGCTGGGTTTGCCTCTGTTGAGGTAAGAAAAGAGCGTTCTGTGATGCTCTTCAAAATTCCGCTATGGATGGCTCTTGAAGGCGTTGCTGCTCCCTCTGTGGAAGGCAGTGCAGCTGCCTGGGCTGGATGCTCGGTAGGAGCGCGTGCAAGAGAATGTTTTCAACCAGGCCAGGATTATTCTGAGTATAGCGTGAACATGTATATGTGAAATCAGACAAGTGCCTGCTACACTCATGATAAGCCTGCGGATACTTTCTTTTCTGTTCCCTTCCTGCTAATGATACAGCCATGAGTGTGTTGTGTATTGTGATATTGCGTGATTAGAACAGCGGCCAAAAACTCTGACCCATCTTTTGATTCTGTGCACTGCGTGGCTCGTGCAGAGAGGTCCAGGCACGTACAAACTGCTTGTGGGTTCGCGAACCTGCGTTGCGCTAGGCTCGCTGCACCCCCGTGGTCCGGCTGTCTTTTGGGGTGCTTAGCCGCTTGCTTGGGCTGCTGCAGGCTGTGCAGAAGGATGCTGGGTCAGTGGCATGTGAGCTCCTGTGCTCTTCACCTGCCTTCCTGCTCTCTTGCTGAACTGACTCTTGACACTAGAAACCAGTATGCTGCTCTTTGAATTTGTTTTTTCCCCTACTATGCAGAAAGAACATGCCTAAGCAGACTGTTGGGCTCTAAGGTCAGTTTGTTGTATCTGAATGTTGATAGTTTTTGCTATGACTTTGTAGACCGAGGAGGCTTTGTGAATAAACCTTACAAAAATGCCTGACTGCCGAGATAGGAGGAGGTAACTGCTGGTGGAAATTACTAGGGCCTGTTTGTGTAAAATCTGTTTTATTAGAGAAGTGGACCTAATAAATGATTTAAGGAGAGGAGAATTTAAGGAGAAAATGCAATCTCCATCCTGCAGGAATCTGGATTGTAATTTCAGGCATACAGGTAGTTCTCTTGACTTCAGTAAAGTAACTTACGTGCCTGAGGTTAAGCATGTTTATTTGCAGAATGTGGTTTTGGCATTGAGAAACAGATGCTTTTAATACAATAAGGAACAATATATGGAATGGGTTAAGTAGCATTTCTGTGCTAGTTAAAGCATGTAAGCTTTACACAATTTGTTAATTATAGAAATAATAGGACTTAATGTTGTTAAGTAGAACATCTTTTTGCATCTGCTATGAATTAAATTTAAGGAGAAAAATAATCCTGTTAATGATGCTTGGTATTTCTAAGTTACTACACAGATTTAAAATACTAGCGCTAAAGAGTAGTCTGGCTTTGAAAGTTTGTTTCAAATATCTCTAAGCACAATTAAGGCTGTACTTGAAGCCTGGCTACACGAGCATGCAGTACTGTTTTGAAAGAAAAAGACCTGCAAGTAGTCTGGTATGTTTTGTTTCTTTTGGAGAAGTTCAGTTTTAGACATAGGTGCTGTAAACATAGTTTTCAAGAATGGCAAACTTACCCTGTTACTTGAGGACAGGATTTGAGTAACAAAAGGATGAATTCTAACATTTCAGCCACTTAATCTGCAGCAGCATGTTTTAAAGTTGAGAAGTGGCAAACTGATGAAATATAAAATAAAGAAAAAGAGTGCTGATAGCATGCCGTTTGCCAAAGTACTGGTGTGTGGCCAATGAAACAGAGTGGTATGTTGGGGGTTTTTTTTTGCTTTTTTTTTTTTCTTCTTTTTTCCCTCTTTTTTGTTGGTTGATTGTTTTTTTAGTAAGATAAATCACTGGAGTATACCCCAATGTGGAGTTTGTTTTAAACACTAAGGACATAATGCACTAAGCTGCCACCAGACTGCTTAGTTCTTCGTTCCAGGCTTTCAAATAGGTTCTTTTCTCCCTTCGCAATATCAGTGCATTTCTTTAAGGTTTTTGGGTTTGATGGTTGGGGTTTTTTTTTTAACATTTTAAAGCAAAGATACTCAACTTCTTTTTGTGCTTATTGGCCACTCGGCTTTTTCCTGGACTAGTGAATCATGTGCTGCTATTCCCCCTCTGTGATTCCATGACATAAGCAGAACAACTCCTTAACATGTGTGCAATATAATCTTTAGCATATCTGTAACAAATTCAGTGCTTCTGGGATGCATTAAGCAACTCTGTGTGCAGAAAGGAAAGGTTTCAGGTGCATGCAGCAAATTTGCGTAGTTCCAGCACCGCTGGACTAACTGCGTGTGCTTGGTGCAGGTTTTCTGCGTGTGAATTGGAGGCACAGCCCTCCTGTGGTGCCAAACCCACTGCACAAGTACAGCATATCTGATGTGTGTGGCATCGTTTGGGATTTATTGCCCAAGGAAGTTACAGAACGGCGTAGAAGGTGTCAGCTCACAGGAAGCTGTAGCTACTTTCAGATCAGTTTAAAAAGGGTCTGCCCCCGGCCCAAGGAACAGCCTTGGTTGGTGAAGTATGTATGGTTCACAGGCTGCAGATTGATCAGCCCTGATTTTAGAGCTCGTAGTGCTGCCTCGTGAGTAGAGAGCACAGATACCTAACCAAAACACTGTTGAGGTTCACATGTATTTAGAGAGGTCCAAGCTGTACTGGTTAAAAGGTGCAGCATGGGCATAGTACAATTATCCTGTGGTCCCATGAATTAGATTTTGTGTTTTAACTGATAAGGCTAAGTATTTATATTCTTTTTCAAAAAATTTTACCTGCATTTTAAAATTAAAAAGTGGTTGAAGTTGGAAGGGACCTCTGGAGGTTGTCTTGCCAACCCCCATGCACAAGCAGGGCCACCTCGAGCAGATATCCACGGGACAGTGTCCAGATGGCTTTTGAGTATCTCCAGGGATGGTGACTCCACAACTTCTCTTGGAAACCTAAAGTGAATTGACAATTCGCTTTATCATTAACAGTTTAGGCATGAAATCAGTGTAATAGAATAATAATGTATTTGTAGTATATCCCCCTGAAAAATTTCTGGTATGAAAACGTAAGTGCTGATTGAAAGCAGAAGTCTGTCTAGCCTAATATCCTGTCTTCAGCAGTTTCTGTAAACAGATGTGTAAGGAAGAACAGGACATTCACATGAATGCTTCCCATTTTCTGAGCCTTCACAGTTTTTCAGCTCGAGATCATTCTGAGCCGTATTTGGTTCCTGTTGAACTAGCAAGCACTAACAAGTTTCTTTTCTCTGTATTTATCTAATATCCTTTTGAACTTTTAATTTTCTTTGACATGAATATTTTGTACACATGCAAATATTTTTACATATTCAGTATGTACGCTGGCAAGCCAGAAACAAATTTACTGAATGGAAAACAATCTCCTTTTCTGTGTTTTGAATGACTCTCCTCATGGCTTGAAAACTCTTGTGCCGTAGTTATGTTGACCATTATAGCGAACAGTCCCCTCCTTTTTCACCTCGTTTGAGCTGTTCTTGCTGATTTATACCTCCCTGCATATTTTAGTCACTTGGAAATCTACAGTTTATTCTGTAATGAAGTTTTCAGAGTTTTCTAGTGGGGGAAGATCTTACTTTAAAGTGATAAATTTCTTTCAAAGCAACACTGACTAGTTACTTTTTTTTTTTTAAAGCCTAAATTGTACAGGTCTGTAATCGAAGATGTCATCAATGATGTCAGAGAAGTTTTTCTGGATGAAGGAGTGGATGAACAAGTTCTTATGGAACTCAAAACAGTAAGTTGCAACTTAAAAAGTTTTTTTAATAGATCAGTACAACAGTTGGTTTTTGGATCTGCTTACTGTTGTATACAGTAAAAATACTAATTTTTAGTTAGCTAAGCATTGTATTCATCTGCATATCTGTAGCAATTATTTGAATTGCATGGCTGTATGGAGAGATCTGCTCGCCTTGTTTACTTTTCCTAATCTGGCATGTCAAACTTGACATAAACTAATAGCAGGCATCCAAGTTCACAGTCCATGAAACATTATGTCTTTAAAAAACAGAGCAGAATGTGTTTATTTTAGAGGCAGACAATTCTTAAGGTTTCTTTGCAGGAAAAATGAAACACCTGCTTTGCTTGATGTTTTTGCCTTGCTGAAGAGGAGGAGTTGCATCATCAGATGCATTGTCAGATTTTTGCATGTCTGGTTTGTGGTTTACAGAAGTATTGTTTTTGAGGGGTTGTACGTAATAAATTGCTCTGTGTGCATCACACTTTTCTGAAGCTCAGAATTGTTTTACGTACAGTGGGTTCAAACTGTTACCAGGGGTCCGAAAGAAAGGCAGGATGTTGACCTGAGCTCCGGTGGGTCTCCTATGGCTTGCTTCAAAATCTTCCTGAGTAAAAGAAGCCCTTCAACAGGGAAGAGAAAAGGCAGGGAAAAAAAAAAAAGGAAGAAATAAAGTAAAAGGAAACTGGGAAAGTAGGTGCCTGCTTATTTCAACTGCAGAATAAGGACTTCTTCAGAAAGTAGGACGTCCGGCACTCTCAGTATTTTTGAAATGTTAAGAAATGGATGGAGTGGGAAAGGAATTTTGAGTTTGGCTAGACAGAAACAGATGAAGATGTTTTTTTTGTGAAACCATGACCTGGCTTGGTGGAAATGGAGTGAGCACTGTAAGAAAAGCACCTCAGTGTTTGTGTCGCAGACGTGTTGTGCAAATGATGTCAGAAAAGATTGAATAAGGAAAGAGACAGGAAGGAAAATGAAGATTAAAGAGGAAGGCTTAGGGAACCCTAAGCAGGATTTAAAATCGGGAGTCCTGGGTGTCTGTAGTCTTTTTGATTCTGATGTAGTACGGAATACGTGTGTTGCTGTCTTTTTACAAGAGCTGCTTTTTTTGCATCTGTGTTTTTTTGGGGGAGACACATCAGCTGACATCAAGAACTGGAGGGTTGGAGAAACTGAGTATTGCGGTAGAAACTGCGTAAATGCTTGTACAGAGGCATTATCTTAGGTATACTGGTAGTTTCTGTTGAAGTGTGTTATGGGGCAGTAGTCTTCAAGCAATTTTTGTTGCCGAGTTCCAGGAAGAAATGGCTTGAGGAAAGCTGTAATAAAGAACTGTTTGTTTGCGATTAAAGAGGTAAGAAAGACAGAAGGTAGAAAAGTGAAAACTTCAAGGCTAATTTAAAGTTACCTGTTTATTCATGCTTCTTTTAGGATTGTTATGAATCTTCCGTGCTTGGAAGAAAGAAAGAATGTTAAAGCTTGAACTTGGATTGACAGTTCATAAGGGATATTTAATTCCTCTTCTTAAAACATTACCTCTGTGGAGTTCTCTCTTCCGTCTGTATTTGCCTAAGGGTGTTTTGGCTAAGTAGACTGCATAAGATAAACAGTGAAAACAAATTTGATTTTGGAGTGCTGTCTGTATATGGTTACAAATCCTGTTGATTGAAAATCGTACACAGAGATTTCTCTTTCCTTTTCCAAACTAGCTGTGGGAGAACAAGCTGATGCAGTCCAAGGCTGTAGATGGCTTCCATTCAGAAGAGCAGCAGCTTTTGTTGCAGGTGCAACAGCAGCAACAGCAGCAGCAGCAACAGCAGCATCATCACCACCACCATCACACACAACCTCAGCCGCAGCAGACTGTGCAGCAGCAGTCTCAACCACAACAGGTCCTTATTCCAGCGTCTCAGCAAGGTCAGACTTACTCTCTAATTTATCTGGCAAAAGACTCTCAAGTTAGACGAACTCCTTAAACAACCTGCCTTAGGTTTAGAATATGCTATCCGATGGATAACTTTGTGTCTTTGTGTTAAACATTGTCTCTACCTGCCTGTTTAATGGGACAAGAGAGCTGTCTTGGTGAAAAATACCTTGGTATTTGTGTTAGTCATACTCTTCAGAAGATTTTGGAAGAGCTGAATTCTTCTCTTGGTCTTCTACTACGTAACTTGCGTTTTCAGAATACATGACCTTCAGATTCTGTCAAAAATCCATTAGCAGCTCCGTAATTTCAAGCCAATATACGTATGCAGTTGACAATTTAGTCATGAGGTAGGAATGTCATTAGAAGCCAATTCATTAAAAAGAAATAGATTACTGTTTAGCGAAAGTGGATGCTAAGATGTGAAAAATAATTTTAGAACACTCTGAATATGTGTAGGAGGTGGTTTTTCATGTTAGAACAAGTTTGAAGTGAAAGTGTAATGGCTGGGTATTTTTGTGGTCTTAAAAGGTTGCACGCTGTATAGGTGTGGATGTTCAAGCTATGTGTTAGCTAGCCATAACACTATTGTTTCTTGTAATTATTGTCTTGTGTATTCTCCGTAAATAATTTAAGGGAAACAGTTTCACCAATTACAATTTCATGTGAAAACTAAGATAAATACTACTGGGATTTCCTGCATATATGCTGTGTAAACAGATCTGCCATCTGTGAAATGCTTGAGTTGAGTTTTCAGTGTGCTATTAAAATTGTAGTGTAAAATATTTATCTGTGGTAGACAGTCACAGATTTCAGTCTTTTAATCAGATTTCATGGATCAGAACCTGTTTTCATAGGCGCAAATGATAGCTATCAGTTGATTTTTCTCCCCCACTCTCCAAAAAACTTCCAAGCACTGTATATTCCAAACAGAAGAGAACAAGTGTGACAAGAACATGTTGATGGGGCTTTTTTCCTTGGTGTGTTTTTTTAGGTGTTTGGGTTTGTGAGTTTTTTTGTTTTTGTTTTGTTTCTTCTTATAGTACTTTGCATTTTGGCTGGACATAAATCAGTTTCAACTGTTGGGATAAAATTCATTTTGAGATAAAGACCCCTAAATACACATGGCTTCAGATGAGCTTGGTGTCTCAGCTTAGGTTACAGTCAGCAGAGCCTGGAAAGACTACTTTCCAAGACCTCTTGTGGCTCCGTAGCTGAATAGCTGTGACTCTACTGACCAGGTTTCTCTCCACTAATATGGAGGTCTCTGTCCTCCCGCTTGAGTCTGAGGGTAGAATAAGATCCTGCCTGTAGTAATACACTTAAAACTGATTTGTTGTTGACCGATGTTGTGGCTTATGACCGAATGATGGTGTGGAGGCTAAATGAAATTAGGCTATCAAAGCAGTTTAATGGCAGACATGCAGTTTCATGAATTGCTTGACTTTCCTGTTCCATGGGCGAGATTGTGTAGTAGTTCCTTGCACAACCTGATGCAGTCCTAGAGAGAGATCAGGACAATTGGCATGGTGATTCCTGCTGTCCTGTGTGTGGTTCTGGCACAGGGTCACGAGATTTCTTTGGACTCCTTTGGCCCTCCCTGGGTTCCCTGAGGGTTGGAGGGATGGCCTCAGACCTTGGTGCAAGGTTGTGAGGCTTCTGTCCCCAGAATCTTTTCCAGAAGCTCTGTTATCCCCAGTATTCGTAAGTGTCCTTGGTTATAGGATTGAATGGACAATACCTTGTTGATGATAGGTTTGTTCAAATTGCTCTGTCATTTTCCAGTTTACTGTCACTGGTATGAGCACTGGCAACCTGCTTGTTCTGTAGACTTGGACGCTTTTGCACTTCTAGATGATCAACAGGTTGTTTGCGTAGTTTAGCTATCTGCTTCCTTTAGCACACCAAAACTGTTCTGTTGTTTGGGATGGGTGGTTGATCATATTTCATCTGCTTCTGCTACGTTGGAAAGACAGTGAAGATCATGAGCTTACGCTAACAGTTACGCTAACTAGACCTAACTCAAGCTAACTGCTGCATCCTGTTACCGTACTCTTCATCTTGCAACAATCCTTGCTGAAGTCTGCATTAAGAGTTAACCACTGTCCATGTTTTTGGAGAGCTCTGGTACTGGACATCAGCAAGTTTATCAACATTTCACTAATACCTTTGATTTCAGAAATGTGTTTTAAATCTTGCTTTACTGAGGGTCAGAATACGTAACTGAATCTTGAGGGAAGATCTGTAAAGCCAGAATAGCTGTATTGCCTCTCAGAGCTGCTGTTGTATGTTGTCTTGAGAGATCAGAGCCTGCTCAGTAGCTGGTTTTGTTATGAAGCTCAGCTGATGTTTGGATGATGTTCTGAGTGACTCTGGCTTGGATGTTATTTTGGGCAGGCTGCGTAGTTTTCATGAAATGCTATTTTTTTGTTTCTAGCACCTCAGCAGCAGGTTATTGTGCCAGATTCCAAGCTGATACCGCACATGAATGCATCAGGCATGGTAAGAAAAGCATGGGTTTATACATACATACACTGTCATTATGGAAGTTGTTTTGACTAAATAGTAAACACAGATCTGGTATTAGTCATCGCAAGCTTAAAAGTAATTTAGGACACACTGGTAAAGCTCTCTGCCACGTTTCTGAGTTTTGCTGCTCCGCTGACAATCTAGGAACAGTAATCCATGACTTTTGTTTTGATAACAAATCTAGGACTTACCCTGATCCTCTGCTTTCAATGGGTTTAACCAAAACTTTTTGATCAGAAATTGGCATACTGTTGATATGAATCTGCATGGTGATGTGCTTGTCATATACCAATGCGCCACTTTTAACTGGTGCAAGCATACTGTATTTGCTAGATGCGGGGAAAAAATAGTGACTGCTCTGAAACATAAGCTTATATCAAATGAGAGATTATTTAGCAATTCACATCGACCTCACGTTATTTTGATTCACTAATTTTGTAATAGCATGTAGTATATGCGTATATAATACAAGCATATAATAGCAGCTAGTCATTTACCCTTTTCTTGCAGTTTTTATCTCTAGTGGTTAATTTTGGTTATCTTGCTTTAGATGCCCTGGGTTAACTAAAAAACAAAAATTTGCTTGCAAAGTGGTGAAAACAACAGCTAATAGTGAAATATGTGTATTAAGACCAGACTTCATTACATTCTTACCACTCTTATGGTAAAAGCACATGAAACAAAGTTTCACAGTTGGTCAAAGCTGCAGCAGCTTGCTTAGCCTTCACTTCTCCATTACCTGCTGACCTTATAGAAAAGAACCTGAACTTCATGACTTGAATAGTGTGATTTACCCAGAGGCCCGAGAGCACATTAACCTCTACCTTTTCCTTACATTTTTTGCAGCTATTTTGATGTGATTTGTAACTTCCCAAGTGCAACGGTTAAACATTTTTTTTCTCATTCATTTAGATCTTGTTGATGGGTATTTAAAAGATGAGTGTGCCATGCTTTTAAAACTCTGCTGCTGTCAAAAAGTCAATGAATTGTATACTGCAGAAAACTACTGTTCAGCAAATAGTTACAGAATCGATTTGGAATTAGTGTATGTGTTTATTAGAAACATCTAAGTTAGTATTAAAGAGTGGATCTGACAGACCTTGATTATCTTGGAAGGCAGAGAGTAGTGAGAGTTTATTCATCTGCCTTTGTCTGGGATGTGAGGATGCAGACAAACACTTTTCAGTTTTGCTTGGTGGTCTGCAATTTTGACAGTTTTAACTACTATATTGACCAGCCAGTACAGGGAGATCGTATTTCTTATAAACAGGAAGTACGTTCTCTGCCCAGTAAGAAAGTTTCAATCCTTCCAGTAGCAAAATGTAATCGGCCATGGTTCCCTTATAGTGAGAAAGGGAGGCTTTCCCATAGGCAGCTGAAGTCAGACCCTTGAAATGGAGAGTCCTCTGGAGAAGTCCATCTCCGTCTGCGAGTTAAGGACTCAGTGCAGATTTTTGTGTTTGGAGCTTACATAATTCTGTTGGAATTCAGTTTCCTTGTAAGTTCAAATCATTACGGATTGAGAGTCTTCAGCTTGCTCTTCTAACCAGCAGTGTTGAGAGAAAAAATTAGTCATTCTGTGAACAGTTAGTACACTATATGCATATATTCACTAAAAAGAGCTGTGTTATGTGGGACTTGAAATGCAAATCATTTACAGAATGCAGAAAACTGCAAACCTGATTACCACTCCTTGTGAAAACAAGGCAGTTGAACATGATCATTGCTTCAGTACCTTATGTTGCTTCAGATTTGTAGACCCATAGATTCAGCTGCTTTGAAAAAGTGTAAGTAAAATTGCCACATGAGCAATGCAGTGTTGTACTCTGTTAACAGATCAGTAGAGAAGAAAAAAAAAAAAATCTGAGCCTGCAGGTAAACCAGGAAACCACGTGGAGCTGGTTGAAGGTGTGATGCTTAGTGATTGTTGTGCCAGTCTTCTTCCTATTAAAGAAGGAAAATAATTTTTATATGTAGTATAATGTACAGTTGATTAATGCCTCCATTTCAATAGCTGCAGAAAGTTGCGTGCAGACATTGTGAACAGCAATAAAAAGGTACATATTTTCAGGCAGTATGTTGTGAGATGAAACACTGGCAATAGCGTCCATGGTTAAAAAGCTTTTCCTCTATTTCAGAGCGCTGCAGCTACTGCAGCTACGTTGGCTCTCCCTGCTGGCGTTACTCCTGTGCAGCAGATACTTACAAATTCAGGTAACTGTCTTAACATTGAGATCAAACAGTGGTTTTGAGGGTGCTTGGGAGGGAGAAATTCTGAGTTTTACTCCTTGCCACGTATTGTTAAAAAACAGAACCTGGGAATCCACCCTCACAAGGTAGTGCAGTCTCTTCGCTAGACTCCTGGACTCTTGCTCACTGACTTGCTAGTCTTACAAACCTTGTGGTTCTGACCTAGCAGTGGTGTGGGTTAGATTCTGTGCGAGTTTTCCTCAGTGCTTAGAGAAGGGTATTAAGCAAGAGGACAGGTGTTGCTGTCTCTCCCCTCAGCATATTTCTGAGATATGTGCTGCATGATCTGAGCACAGATACTAGACTGATTATAAAAGAGCAGGATCACTTAATCTGTGATTTCAAATGAGGAATGTCTTAAGGTTTCTGGTACCTGCAAAGCACACACAGTGGAATTTCTAATTTTGCTGGCGGTGCTGATTTTATTTTAGATTTATCATTTTTAAATCTTGTCATGCTGTACATTTAGAATACAATTAAATGTTACTTTTATGAACAGCATATCTGGAGCTTCATGTACTTTTGTAACATGCTGATTTTATAAGCTTGATTGTAGAGCTCTTCTGTGCGGAGATTAAAGGAAGGTCTGAGAAAGCTAATTTTCTAGAATCAGTTGCTGCTTTTGCCAGAGTAATTCACCTAGTCTGCTCAGAATCACCTGGGACTTAACCACCCTGCTTTAAACACTTGAAATTTAATGATGATGTAGTTGAAATGAAATTTAAATGTGTAGCTGTTCTACAAATTAAATTTTTTCCGATTTTTAAGGAAGCATATCTATGTTTGTCAGAACATAGAATAATCTGCGTCTCACATTTGTCACTTGCATTATGGTCATAATTTCTTTTTCTTCAGTTAGAAATATTAAGAGCATGTTTTCTTAAACAAGGGGCTAGGGCAGTCCCTCTTTTCAGGTATACTTAGGTATTTCAGTGAATAGGGCTTTGCATTTTGCTGTGGAGAGAGAACAGGAAATAAAATTTGAGGTTTATGTATGAAGTTCAGGATTATCTAATTTAATTTCTTTTCCTCCTCCTCCATCCTGCTGATAAGAAATATAAAGAGCTAATGTTGGAATATATCTTAGCTCTTGCTTTTCAGAGTTGGAGGCCATCTCCAAAGGTTTGTGAGTCTTAGATGTATGTTGTGAAGTGAGGAAAGGTATAAAATGATAAAACTATAGGATAATAAAAGAAAATCGAGTACAGGCATTATGGGAACAGAAAGGAGAGGTGGATAATAAGGGTAGAGTAAGGACAGATTTTTCAAAAAGGCAACTGCACAGTAATATTGCAAAGAAAGTTATGCATAGAAGTATTTCTTCTAATGTGGTATAATCGGCAGGAAAATAATCTGAGGAAAGGACATCATCTTACAGGACCCTGGAATTACCACAGTGTTAGCAGTGGCTAGAATTTTTTGTGTTGTGAATACTTGTATTCCTATTTTGGTATATGTTCATTTGTTTATATGTAAAATCTCATCTTTTGAAACATGAGATGTGTTCGTAACTGGGAGCTAATATTTAAAATACTGTGCTATGTTAAAGGATTAGACTTCGGCTTGCATATGTAAATTTATTTTTGGATTGCATACCTCATGAGCGTATTTAGATGGTAAACAACCCTACTAGTTCTTTGTTTCTGACACAGCTGCTGCAGCATAGCACCTTTTTACTGGTGAACGCAACACATGAATGCTCTCCTTTAATTGTCATTGGTGTTCTTCCAGGAAACAAGCTTCTAAACTAAGACCATTTTAAAGGTGAATTTCCACATTTGGTTAATATTATATTTATTTTATTACAGGCCAGATCCTCCAAGTAGTTAGAACTGCAAATGGAGCTCAGTATATCATTCAACCACAGCAGCCAGTTGTTCTACAGCAGCAGGTCATACCACAAATGCAGCCTGGTGCAGTACAAGCACCTGTTATACAGCAGGTAAAGAAACATTTTTTAATAGGTACACTTGAAAGAAAAAATATTATTGTAATTACTAAGGAGGCTTGCATTTTTGGGAGGAAATTGAAATGGAATACAAAGTCGGAAATGGTGTATTTAAAAAAAAAAAAAAGAATTGTGTTAAGAACTGTGTTTTTAAAAATGAAGAAATTTGAAATGTTGTTTGCAATGTCACGCTTATTGCAAAATTCTGACTGACTGCAGTTCAAAAATGTTTTTGTGTGTCCCCGCATGACAGTTATGTGCATAATCTTAGTCTACGTACTTTTAAAAATGTGTTTATCAGTTAAAATGATTCTGTGTCACATAACATACAGAAGAAAATACATAAAATAAACATTATTTTAGTAGTGAATACAGAAAGCTTTACAAGGACTTCTGTTGAGCTACAAGGTCAACTGTGTGTCCAGACTCTGTAAGCACTGAATTTGGCATTGTGTCACAGTTCTGCAGTTCAAGCGTGACTAACAGTTTGTAGAGAGTTTAAAGTTACATGTTTTATAGAGGACATTTAAAAATAATCTTTTACTTGAATTTAAATGTTCCTCTGCTGTGCTGGGAAGTCCAGTGTGGTGGCAGTAGTGCTAGTGTTTTAGAATGGAAAGACAGACAGGAGGTTTTCTTAGGTTTATCAATGCAAAATGCAGAAAATGAACACCGCCTAGTGAAAGAAAGTATGTTACTGAAGATTAATTATGTATCTGATACAGGTGGCATATTTGTAACTCTTGTTTCTGTAAGTAGTGCAAGTCAGATTGATAAGCTTTAATTATTTTCAGTGGATGAAGTGGTAGTCCGTTTATGTTAGCAGCCACAGTACTTGCAATGATATTCCATCAGGTTTTGGCTCCTATCCCTGGAGGGATCCCCCAGCAGACAGGAGTGATCATTCAGCCTCAGCAGATCCTGTTTACCGGAAATAAAACACAAGTCATACCTACAACAGTGGCTGCCCCTACACCAGCTCAAGCACAGATTCCTGCAGCTGGTCAGCAGCAACCACAACAGCAGCAGGCACAACCACAAGCACCACTCGTTCTCCAAGTTGATGGAGCAGGGGACACATCGTCTGAAGAAGAAGAAGATGAGGAAGAGGACTATGATGACGATGAAGAGGAAGACAAAGAGAAAGATGGGGGTGAAGATGGCCAAGTTGAAGAGGTAAACTTAACACTATTTCAGAAGACTAGGGCACACTTGTATTTAATTTTATATTTTTTGCAATATTTGAAAGAAAACTGTATGCTTCAACTAATATATTCCAATAATTTTGAGAATATAACTTTCAACCTTGTACTTCAAGTTCATTATTTCCCATACTGAAGTTGTGGAAGCTGTGTGTATTAGCAAAGCACCTTGAAATGCAGCTGGGGAAGGCAGGGGACACAGTGAAAACTGTTAATTGTTGTGAATGCCCTTTTTGAAAATTTCAGCAGTAATATTTCTGATGTTATGGAGAGGTCAGCCCTGAAATTATGAAGCCCTCATAAGCAAACAGAAATAGTCAACTGCACTTGGAACTGAGTGCGTACGAAAGCAAGGTGCTAGGAAGATTGACAAAAAGCAGAGCGTGTATTTAGTTCACTGAGGGGACCAATAGATGTAGTCTGACCTCTATCGCGCTGATCATTCTGTTGGTGTTACACTAGAACAAGACCGAGAACTCAAATTTGGTTATAAACACCTTCTAGAAACACATCCGACTAATTTAATGAAATCAGGAGACAAGAGCAAGAGTGAATATTCTTTGTAACTTGTTGCATTCTTAAAAATATGTGCTTAATTTAGACTTCGAATTTGCTTGATTTCAGACTTGAGCCAGTGATTCTTACTAAGTTTTGGTGTGTTGCACCAAAAAGCCCACAATAAAAAGATTTTTTTTTTTTTTTTAAAAAAAAGGAGGGGGGAGGGATACTAATAAGCTAAAAGTGCTGTTACTTCAGTCTCTGACAGGGAACCTGGTACTCCCTAAGTCTATCCCAAAAATGCATTTTGAACTGTCAGATCACTTCCACCGTTCTCTGCAAACTTTCCAATTACTTTAAGATTGCATTTTTAAAATGCCAGTATGAGGAGCATGTGTAGCATTTCACAGTCTGTATTACTCATACAGTATATGCTGGTAGAACTTCTAGTTTTCATTAAGGAGTTCAGTCAGGTTTTCTGTAGTACATCTACAGTGGTGTCTAGCAGTATTTTTCTGTTACAGATTACAAGTTGAGTCCACATCGCTGTTCTATTACATTGATCAGCATTGATGTCGGTTTGAATGTTTTATTAGTTGCCTTATTAAGTATAGATCATGATGCTTAAATATTGTATTCTTTAATGGTGCCTTAATACTAGCTTTCTTGTGGAATTTTTTTTATATGTCAGGACTTTATTATCAGCATGCCAGAGATCTGTTATTTTTGCTACCTTTGTTCATCTGCAGGTACTTAATGAGTGGACGAGTTCCTTAAAGCTTTTGAAGTCAATTAAATACAGTGTTACTTTGAAAGGAATTAGGACCTCTAGTATGCATTTTACCTTTTTTTCCTCTTACTAGCATTTCCCGCCCCTCCCCGTTTGGCTTATGTATTTGGGAGTAGATAGGAAGGGAAGATGAGGATTATACAGAAGACTTCAGAAAAGTTGTTTTGCAGTTATTAGACACTGTTTTAGCTTTTGAAGTGTTTGTTATTTACATGAGATAAAAAAAAAACCTAAAAAACCCACATTTCTGCTGGAACAGAGTGTTAGCAGAAGGAGGAAGGAATGAAAATAATATTTAAGGGACATGAAAATAAATTCTAGAAGGTCTGGAGAAGTTATTTGGTATGTATCTATGAAAGATCATCTTAAAGCATCTTTTTTTCCCTTCCTGTAAAAACTTGCAGCATGAGGTCTGTTTCTGTTTGTGGTGAATCAAGTGTGAAGAAGTCATGGAGTTCCTATTTTTAATGGCACATAAGGAGTGTTGTGACTAGTGTTGCCTTTCCACTGCTTAAATGCTTCAGAAAAATGAATATCTGCATGATTAATTTTTTCTAAAGACAAATTGCAAGCACCAGAACATTAACAGTAAAGGGGCAAGAATGGTTGCACTGCAATGTAGGAGTTTTCATTCAACAAGCTTGCAGCAAAAGGCTGCGCTGCCCAGAATCTGGTTTGGACATTGAAGTTGCAGACTAAATGGTTAAGGACATCTGCTGAGGATGGAGGGCGGGAAGGAAGTGGATTTACATCAGCCTTCTGCTGGAAAGCCTAATATTCCTCACCTCAAAGGCCTTTTAGGTCCTATAGACAAGACTGTAGCCTCGTGAGTCATCAAAGTAACAGCTCTGATCTTACGAAACGGCTTGATTTTTTGCATGTATTTCTTTCAGGAGCCTCTTAACAGTGAGGATGATGTGAGTGATGAAGAAGGACAAGAACTGTTTGATACAGAAAATGTTGTTGTGTGCCAATATGATAAGGTAATCTCTACAGTACAGAATCTAAGATTTCTGCTTTCTCCGTTCTTCCTATCAAGTCATAATTTTTATCTTTACAGATCTACCTGTACCTAACAGTCATAAAGGTTATAATGTGAATGGTAACAGAAGAATTAGCTATTTGGTTTTTAAAACAGGTTTGTGTGACGTGTGTACTGCACTTTGTAATGAGGAAAGCTTAGAAAAATTTGGCTGCATTTTCTTTTTCTTCATCATGTCTTTTGTTACCTTTAACAAAAGGTCAGTCCTCTAGGCTCAGAAGTGAAATATTGTAAGTTTGTACATTTGTTGTGGCCATGAATGGAAGAGGTAGTCATTATGACTTAGACTTGTGAAAAACTGTTCTTTAATCACTAAAGGTATCTCTTCTTGATGTCAGATTAGTCAGCAGAGGAGAAGGTTCTTCCTGTGCTATCCATTCTTTACTGAAGTGGCAATGTGGAATGCTTTTGCTTATTTTGCTTTAAACTCTGCTGAACTGTCTTGCCTCCTCTATAATGACTAATTTCTTCTTGAGTATTTGCCCTGGAATGTGCAAGGATTCATCCATGTCTGGAATTGTTTTAAATATGTCTACAGGTTATCCGACACCTTTTTGCTGAGGTAGGTTGCAGAAGGATTATTCGGTGTGGATTTTCTTTCTTTTCCTATGCTGGATTACTTGGACAATTGAAGGGTAGTTTTTAAAGCAGAAAAAAGCTGTAAGCTTGTTGAATAAAAATTCCTGAATTGCAAAGAATGGCTTGGGTAAAAAATCTTCAGTGATGCCTGGACTCTGCTTAGGTTTGTCATCAGATTCAACAGAGAATTTAAGATAAAGGGAAGAGGTATCAGTATCTACACGCAAGCCATCTGTCTCCTCCAAACTGTACTCACAGAATCACGGAATGTTCAGGGTTGGAAGGGACCTCTGTGGGTCATCTAGTCCAACCCCCCTGCCGAAGCAGGGTCACCTACAGTAGGCTGTAGAGGACCGCGTCCAGGCGGGTCTTGAATATCTCCAGAGAAGGAGACTCCACAACCTCCCTGGGCAGCCTGTTCCAGTGCTCCGTCACCCTCAGAGGGAAGAAGTTCTTCCTCATGTTCAGACGGAACTTCCTGTGCTTCATTTTGTGCCCATTGCCCCTTGTCCTGTCACTGGGCACCACTGAAAAGAGCTTGGCCCCATCCTCCTGACACCCACCCTTCAGATATTTGTAGGCATTTATAAGGTCCCCTCGCAGCCTTCTCTTCTTCAGGCTGAACAAGCCCAGCTCCCTCAGCCTCTCCTCGTAGGAGAGATGCTCCAGTCCTCTCACCATTCTTGTAGCCCTCCGCTGGACTCTCTCCAGTAGCTCTTCATCTTTCTTGAACTGGGGAGCCCAGAACTGGACACAGTACTCCAGATGGGGCCTCACCAGGGCAGTGTAGAGGGGAAGGAGAACCTCCCTCGTTCTGCTGGCCACACTCTTCTTGATGCACCCCAGGATCCCATTGGCTTTCTTGGCAGCCAGGGCACACTGCTGGCTCATGGTTAACCTGTCGTCCACCAGGACACCCAGGTCCCCCTCCGCAGAGCTGCTCTCCAGCAGGTCCACCCCAAGCCTG